CTATTGAACACGTACCATAATTTAATGTTTTGTACAATCTACAATCTAAGGTCTACGATAATTCCTAAACGTACAATAACTTTAAAAATCCAGATATTTTATAAAATAATAATTCTTTTAATATTTTTTCGAATCATTATTCCAATATCTATTATATCTCTAGTTATTCATAATGTTCAAACTATAAAATTTAATTACCCGCCTATTTGTATGTGTGCTGGATTTCAAATCCTGAAAAAAAAAATTATTATCATAATAAACTGCAATAATTTCTATGGGTGGTTAATTATTCCATGTGGTAATATTGTAGATAGCTTTAAAACAAAATTAGTTAACTATGTAAGATAATTACAGTCCAATAATTCGACGCCCTGGTACAATATTCTGTTTTCACGTATGTGCCAACACTGTAATGAGCAGATAGCGCTTACCTAATGCATGTGTGTCATTTCATTTCAAAATACCTTGACGAAAATGTGTAATTAATAATTATCCATTAACGTCAGAAAGTTCATTGCTATCCGGTGCTTTTTATTTACTGCCGTGCCCCACAGGCCACATTTCACACTTATATATATCCTTAATAATCTTTTTGGAATCTTCAAACTAACCATTGGCGATGATTTCTTTCTTTTTTTTTTCAAAGCGACTTCACCCAGCGATATTCAGTGTAGTCATGTAACAGGTCAATTGAAAAGTCCCCGGCCTAAAATAGTAAAACACATTTTTTTTGCAAAATTCGTTTTTTTTATTCAACATAATTCCCTTCAAGGGTGATACACTGATTATAGCGATCCTGCAACTTTTCGATACCATTTTTGTAGTACGATTTGTCCTTTGCTTCAAAATAGGCCTCAGTTTCGGCGATCACCTCTTCATTCGACGAAAATTTTTTCCCAACGAGCATTCTTTTGAGATCTGAGAACAGGAAGTAGTCGCTGGGGGCCAGATCTGGAGAATACGGTGGATGCGGAAGCAATTCGAAGCCCAATTCATGAATTTTTGCCATCGTTTTCACTGACTTGTGAGACGGTGCATTGTCTTGGTGAAGCAGGACTTTCTTTTTCTGCAAATGCGGTCGTTTCTCGGCGATTTCGTCCTTCAAACGGTCCAATAACGCTATGTAATAGTCGCTGTTGATGGTCCTTCCTTTTTCAAGGTAGTCAATGAAAATTATTCCACGCGCATCCCAAAATACAGACGCCATAACCTTGCCAGCCGACTGTTGCGTTTTTGCACGCTTTGGAGCGGGTTCATCGTGTGCAGTCCACTCCGATGACTGTCGATTGGACTTCGGAGTGAAATGATGGAGCCATGTTTCATCCATTGTCACATATCGACGCAAAAACTCGGGTTTATTACGCGTGATCATCTTCAAACACTGCTCTGAATCATCAACTCGTCGTTGTTTTTGGTCAAAAGTGAGCTCGCGCGGCACCCACTTTGCACAGAGCTTTCTCATACCCAAATATTCGTGAATGATGTGATGTATACGTTCCGTTGATATCTGTAGAGTGTCTGCTATTTCATTCAATTTCAATTTACGGTCATTCAAAATCATTTTGTGGATTTTTTTAATGTTTTCGTCCGTAACAGCCTCTTTTGGGCGTCCACTGCGTTCACCGTCTTCGGTGCTCATTTCACCACGTCTAAACTTAGCATACCAATCCTTGATGGTTGATTTTCCTGGGGCAGTGTCCGGAAATTCGTTATCAAGCCAAGTTTTTGCTTCAACTGTATTTTTTCCCTTCAAAAAGCAATATTTTATCAACACGCGAAATTCCTTTTTATCCATTTTTTTCACAATAACAAAAGTTGCTTCACTAAAAATGCTATAATTCACAAACTAATGATCCGACAGCCGTCAAATTTATAGACGCGTCTTTTGAAGGTTGGGACTAACTGAAAATCATATGGATTTAGTTCTGGTGCCGCCATCTATGTGTCAGGCCGGGGACTTTTCAATTGACCCTAGTATATTCTCCAAAATATAGCATTTAGAACCATTGCAAGGTCTGGCTATTAAATAATGAGATTGCTTATGAAAAAGGGTTTTATTTTAAAAATTATTCTGCAATCAAATGCTCCCCTTCAATTTACCTACCCCTTCCCCTCGCTACACACTGTTCTATTCGTTTTCTCTACTGATCAAAGCAATGCTGGAAGTCTTCTTTTGTAAGAGCATTTAGGAGCTGCGTCGATTTTCATTTCACCTCTTTCATCAACTCGAACTGGATTCCTTTTAAGGCAGACTTAATCTTCAGAAACAACAAAAAGTCACAGGGTGCTAAATCAGGCGAGTACGGCGCGTGTTCGAGCACCAGAAAGACTCTAACGGCCAAATAATGCTTCATAGACAGCGAGCTATGGGTAGGTGCGTTGTCCTGATGCAAGATCTACGACTTGTTTTTCCACAACTCCGGCCGTTTTTTAATTAACCGCTCTCGTAGTGTTGTCAAAACGTTCAAATAGTAAGTTTGGTTTACAGTTTTGACCCTCGGGAATCGATTCAGTCACCACGATGCCGTTAATGTCAAAAAAACATTACAGGTCAGCCAAAGTATCTGTAGCCACGACAGAGGTATGCGCAGTGGCATAGTGGAAGAGTTGTAATTAGATCTCATTCTCTCATCTGTTTAAAGTTGTTAAAAAAAGATCATCGTGTACAGTCTGCGTAGAGTCAATGCAATATTAAATGACCAATGTCGCAAGCGGCATCGAAATCAAGTTTATTTGTTCCTCTGACTGTATAAAGTCCAAGCAGGTACTGCAAAGCATATCGGTCACTCTCTAATTGCTTTCGCGCTTTTTCTCGCATTCCGCGGCTACATTTTCATTGGTCGAGGTATAGTATGACTTCAAATTTTGATTTCGACGTCCTCGTTGTTTTCAGTAAATGGATTGCTGCTTAATTTCAACATCGTATTGGAATATTCTGGTTTCATCGCAAGTGACAATGTTTTCGATCAATTCGGGCTCTTCATCGAACCTCTCAAAAAGATCTGAACAGATCTGTTGACGGACGATCTTTTGATAGGGGATCCAATTTTTTGGGACTAACTTCGCACAGACTTTCTTCATGTTCAATTCGCCATGTAAAATTTTTTTTACAGTCTCAGCAATCATCCGAATGCTCATATGTAGAACGATTTCCCAGCACAATTTCATTGATTCTGATCACTGTTTGCGGAGTTAAAACAGACACAGGTCAACCTGGACGCTGGTCATCTTCGATGCTCTCTCGGCCTTCAGAAGACTTTCTATACCATTTGAAAACCTGTGCACGAGATAGAGAATTCTCACCATCACCTCTTTGAACAATTTTTTTTTTTTATTTAACCAGAGGTTTCACATTGATTCCGTGTTTTCCGTCACATAGAAAAAATACTATTCACTACAGCCACAAAAACGTGTTTTCGTACTGGACCTAAAGACACTTCCAGCTTCCAACTATGAATTCGTTTCCCTCCTTTCCCCTCCAGGATTCCCTTTGCGCGCGCAAACTCGTTAGTTAACAGCCAGACCTCGTATATCCTTATATCCGAAAATGCTTCTCCAATACAATAAAAAAGTAAATCTTTACGGCTTGAGTTATCTGAATATTAATTGTTATTTGGGGTTGGTCTAAGATTGCTTCCCTACTGTGAAAACAACTATGAAGTCTTAAAATCTGACAAATCGTCAACTACTACCCGAGTAGAATTTATTTTTGGGAACCGGTTGGGTCCCGATTGGGTTTTCCCAAATTCAAATAGGGACCCAAATGGGACACTCAACCGGTTCCCTATTGGAAATGTAACGCTTTCCCCATCTGGGACCCCGTAGGGAAAGCCCTAATTGGAAAATTTAGGGAAATTCCAAATGAATCTTTAATTTTAAATGTGTTGAAAATTTAATATAAATATATTAAAACTAAAATGATACATGTACTATAAAGAAAACTATTTTAAGTGTAATATGGGTAGTATATCATATGGTAGTATAATATAAGTATAATTTCCACTGAATAACTGCATTTTCCGATAGGCTATGATCGTTAGAGCGTTTTTTTGTATTAAAAATAACTCCCGATATTTTTCACCAAATCTTCTGACACGTAAACGTGTAAGATTACAACGAAAAAAAAAAAAAAGTATATCACCCAACTGTTTTGTAAACTACTAGTAATTATACTGGTTACGAACTCACGCTACCTTCACTTGCTCTTGAAAATGTCTTCCTGGGTTACAATAAAATGAGTCTAAGATATAGTTTGGGAAATCCCAATTTGGTCCCAATGAATACTTTCCAATAAATGGCCAAATGTTACATGAAAGTGTAAAAAATAATTATTAATAGAATAGAATAAATAAAATAACTATCTATTATTTATAAATTAAATAATAATTAATTATTCTTCAATAAGATTGTAGTTCGAAAGTGCAGTTTGGGTAAAGTTTGGGATTTCCCTAAAATACGCAGATCAAAATTTATTGGGTATAGGTGGGAAATGCCCAATTTGGGCAAAGTTTGAGCTTTCCCTAAAATACGGAGATCAAAATTTATTGGGCATAAGTGGGAGATGCCCAACAATCTCCAATAGGGACCCACTGTAGTTAGGGAATTCCCAAAATAAATTCTACTCGGGTATGGGTAGCAACTCCAGGGAACGTAGCAATTCCTTCGCTGTGATTATACTCTTAGGGCGTAAAGTTATTCGCTTAGGTTGAACCGATACTGTGCCAATATAATCGCTGCGGACTTTTCGTCTTTGATATAAAGGAGAAACAATCCTAGTACACGGCCGTCAAACTCAAATATTAAGTACTGCTCTAATTATGAAAAGTATAAAATGCCCTTTAACATTAAAATATTTTATATTCTGTATTTCTTTAGTCCTTATTGGAATATATTTTAACGACTTTTATTTTAGTTGGTATACATATTTGTGGCTATATCTAACTCTAATTTTCTTTGTTTCATGTCTTTCCTCGACTGGAATGGATTTTCACCCAATACAGAGCGCAACTCGAGTAAGTACATTTGCTTTTTCCTTTTTCATTTTCTATCCGTTAACGTGAAATCTTCTGGAAGTAATTTCGTTGCAATTACAAGCCACGTTGACACGTTTTATAACCGGCTTTTCTCCCTTCCTTTTGAAACGTTGTCTTGGTTGGAAAAATCCCTAGCGCAGCGAAATACGATAGTTCTACAAATTGGGTAAAGTTGCGACAGAACAAGAAGGTAAAGACGACCTTATATTCTATCAGAAGGCGCAAATCGTATCTACTAATACCCACCGTTTGTAGAAACTGTAATGTTATAAAAAAATTCATTAAGAGAGCGTCTTTTTGAAATGAAAGCTTTGGAGTACTATTTTTTTGACGTGACAACGTCTTATACTTCGATGGAGCCGGGCTGCACGCACGAAAAAACATGACTCATGCGGCGTTACCTCGCTCTGAGGCGTTCCATTTAAGGCTTGAAGTGCAAGCGAGAGCGCGGAACGAGCGACAAAGAGGCACAATCGGCCTCCGCGTTCGGCAGCGTTCGACATCTGTCTCTCTCCTACTTGAGTGAGCGATGCGTCCGCGTGGACAGCTGCTATACAATAATACATTTCCATTTACCTCCTTCTCTATATCCATACAAAATATCTATCAAACAAATAAAATTAAAATTTTCTTTTGAAAAATGAAACCATTCCATCAGTATTTTCTTATGACGTTGTCACGTTCAACTATCGTCAGTAAACCGACTTTACAGACAACCGATTTTTATTAAGGCCATTGGTCCATAAAATGTTTCTTTTTTGAAAGTTTTTTGAAGTGAAGCTTCTTTGGGTTCGATGAGAGTAAAATGTTAAGGCCATGAAACGACACGTTTTGCAACGTTTTGTCTCGCGACGCGATAAGCTATGAGAATAGAAAAGCGCGCATGCGCATGTCGGTATACAGTCAGCTGTTAGTCACCGGCATCTTATATATTATACTATAATGCATATTCACTATACTATAGTGCTAAATTAATTTTTTGGTTATATCTGTGCAGTTATATTACAGTAAATGTATTAGTATCAGTAAAGATCTAAAAATTGAAAGACGGTTAAGTGGAGAAAGAACTGCATAATTTAGTTCTCATTAATGTACTGTATCGAAGGCAGACGAATTTCTAATAGCTTAGAAGTTGTCAAAAAAAAAAATCGAAAAACGTCGATTGGGTAATACAGTGGTAGCTCGAGATACGAGTGCCGTAACATATGAGTTATTTGAAATACGNAAATTCTCGTACTCTCTCTTTCACCAATCATTACTTATTCGTTGTAAAGGTATAGAGTTCGTCAAAGAAGTTGTAATATTCTACAAAATGAGCCTAATTAAAATAAAATCGATCGTTTTGAAGTTGCAGAAAAATTATCATAAACTCACGTTTTACCATGCATAGCATAGGGAAAATTTCGTCGTCCAGGAAAGAAAATTAATTATGGATTCCTTATTTTCGATGATATCAGCAATCATTAAATCTTTACTTTCCTAAATGTGTCTGCGTGATCGCAACTGACGAATCAATCAAAAATCATTAAACAGAAGGAGAACACTGTTGAATATTTGATTTTTTCTCTTTCTCTCTTTTTAGATTCGCAGAAATACAACACAGGTCCATAGTATTGGGATCTGATATTGTGACGTTTGATCCAATATAACCGCGCTATGCCACAGTTTAGCATTGCTAGTACAGGCAACAAATATATTTTTTTATATTTTAGCAATATAAATAAAACATTTAGTTAATTTAAGTATTAACAATTATTGTAGGATAGATAAATTTTAGTTGAATTAAACTTTTCATTCATAATTTTAAAAATAAAGCCCGACTTATTGGTTATCCTGTTCGCACTTACTCAGTCTACCGTAGTCTTGTACCGCAGATGTTGAAACGAGGCAGATCGATAAAGTTAGCTTATAAGGTGTGATGAATTATGCTTCATCTTCATGAAGGTTAGAAAAGAATAATCTTTCTTTTGCATTAAATATTACCATACATCTCAATCCCAGTTAAAGTACATAATTCACCATCACTTTCAATTGAATCACAAAACTTGACAGCTCTTGTTTGAGTATGCATTTCTCGATTCAGTACCTACATCATGAACTGATTCTGGAATACTTTCAGCAGTATCACGTTCAGCACATACTTTGGGTACATCTGGCTTATCACCCTGTAGAAGCCCTATATGTTTTACGCGTTACCTTATATGGTTATTTGAACGTGATGTGGTTATGAGGTGGTAATAAATGATAGGGTGTACAATAGTGGAGAGCGACAAGTGCGTTCGGTGGAGAATAGAAGAGACAGAAGTTGCGGAGATACGGTGGTGAACACCGGCGACTTCAAAAATGCTTAGCTACTGAGTGGTGTACAGCGGCGCTGTTCTATTTCGACGTTATTATTAAGAGTGAATAGCGAATAACGACTACTTCTTTGGTTAATGAGATCTAGACCGTGACGAGGAGCCAACTCTAATTTGTAGGGCAGCACAGAAATTATTATCTTCACCAGCTAAGTGAGAATTATTGTTGCTGTTTGTTGCTGATTGTATCAAGCTGTTTTTGTTTTTGATTCAGTACCTTTTGTGAAAACGATAGTTATGACGATTTGTAGTTTGAATGTTCTTTGTTTATCCTTGTATAAAGTGGTTAAATTTATTAAACTTCTCTTTTCTCATTTTTACCGAGCTCCAAGTTTTATTTATAAAACTTTGACCCCAGTATTCGTCAACTTTTACGTTGTCGAGTTATTACAATCCTGGTTTACAAGCTTCATATTTTGATTGTTTACTATTTTCTCTGACTCCAACTTTCTACGCTTATTGCTACTTTTACTGTGATCGATTTGTTTACCAGGTATTTCAATTTATGACACAGCTGTAGGCAATAATTTTCTTCTTTGACAAGAGATTTTAATTTTATCGATCTGCTCCATTTCAACACCTGCGCTACAATCAGTAGACTGAGTAAATGCAAGCAGGATAACCAATACATCAGACTTTGTTTTTAAAATTATGAATGCAGTTTCATTCAAACAAACTTTATGTATCTTATAATAATTGTTTAAACTTAAATCAACTAACTTTATTAATTCATTTTAAGAAGTAATATTGCTTATTGCTAAAAAATCAAAAAAAGTATACTTGTTGGTTATGTTAGTAGCTAACTGTGGAATAGCGTGGCCATATTGGATCGTGACGTCAGATCCCAGTACATGTGTATGGATTGTACTATCCGTATATTTTGCAATGTAAACTTTTTGTTCTACCTACCTTAACTGCTGTTGCTTGAAAAATTTTGAAAGATATAATCCAATAATTTTGGCATTTAGGCTTACAATTGAATAGGTTCCGTATAGTAGAACAATTTAATATTATTGAAATAGGATGTTTCTTTTGAGTAAAATCAGAATTCGTAAAAGCAAGTGCATAATAAATAGGTAGCAGGTGCATGAAGGTTATTAAACGCTGTCAACGGATGTTTGAAAATGAACTTTTTCGTTATCACTGAGTTTTTACCGGTTTCTATCCAAACAAAAAAAAAACAGTATTTTCTATGCGTAATTAACCTTAAATATAAAAAAAACATAGGCATTTATGATATATAAATGTACTTTCATGAAATATTTTGAAATTAAATTACGCCTCCACGTCTTTGTCTCCAACTTCAAATATGTACCTTCTTAGTGTTGTAGAATCCAGAATTACCAATACGACTTTTACTTTAACCTCCCAGTCCCTCCACGTTCCACCCCTTCGTTTTCATTACCTTTCAAGAAAAAAACTTGTGGCAACCACACCTTACCGTGAAAAACATGTAAATTTTATGATTCTTTTTGTTGGATCATAGCTGTTGTCTTTGGTAAAAGCTGATTATGATGGATAAGATACACATTTTTATCTATTAGCCGTTATATCAAACTACGCATCTAAACGGGCAATATTATTCAGTTCTTAAATAAGTAGCAGCACTTAAAGGTGATGGTGTGGTTCTCCACTTAGTACCAGTCACATAAATATGTGTCCCAATCGATTATTTTGAAGGCGGTACATTACCTCAAATTTTCATTCTACTTTACATTCTTTTTTATTTTTGATTAAATTTTATGAATAATTAAATGTAGTAGCATTTACCTGTAAAGAGCGAGTTATAACTTTATTCATTTTAACACATCAATACTTATAATCATCATCATCGCACTTCCCTAACGCTAGAAAAAAAACTTAAAACTATTGGGTGTTTCATTCCCACCAGCCAGTAATGCTGGTGGGCGGGCAGTCCCTCCGGACTATACCGGAAGGTAGGGCGGAAGGCCCTCTTCAGCCTGCTTTCAGGAATCGTGGGAATGGGTGGGTGGTGGTTCGGGTGAGAAAATGAGACGGACGAGATTATCTGTGGAATATTACTGCCTCAGCATTTGCCTAAGTGATCCAAGGAAACCACAGAAAAACTTGGACCAAGGCAGACGGACCCGGAATCGAACCGACGTCCTCCCGAATGCTAAGCAATGGTCTAGACCTCTAGGCCATGCCGCTCGGTCTAACGCTAGATTGTTTCATATCCTTACCTATTTGTGAACAGTAATCTAACCTAAATCTATATCTATTCTACTTAACTCCTGTTTCTGCTTCTAATATGTCTCCAACTAGCCCTTCATGCCTGAGAAGGTGTCCTACCAACTTATCTCGCCTATTTCTTATTGACTTCCGTTCATTTCTGACCTCCTCTATCTACGGTGTGTAACAATCCTTTTCGAATTTTTAAATTAAGTGTTCGCGAGTGTAGAAGGGACTTCTTTTTAAAGTGTATTTTTACCCAAGCGTTCCTCGATACTAATTACAAAGTATCAAAGCCAAGTTGGCTTTTCTGACCAATAGGAATGAAAAAACTTTGGGATGTTTCCATGACCAATTAAAAAATCATAAATAGTGAATTTAAATTTTTGTTTATTCGACGACGTTTCGACGCTCTCTGCGAGGTCATTT